CCCCCCCCCCCCCGGGCTCCTGGGATTGACCGACTGCACCTCGGGCCCTGTTCCCTGACGATTCCCCTCTCTCCTTGGCATGTGCCAGCTGTCGTCCCCCCCTCCCCCGTCCTGGTCCCATCACCCAGTCGCCTCATGGCAGGGGCACAGCCGGTGCATATTGCCACCGCCGGCAGGGATGTCACAGGGTCCCTTGCAGTCGTGAGGGCTCTCTTGGTCACAAAGGCTCTGGTCAGACCATCTGAGGCCCATTTGGCTGGAGATGGAACAGGCTTCCGGGGCTTCCAGGGCCCGAGGCTCCCACTGACTGGGAAACGCAGACGGTGTGTTGGGGTCTCCTGTGGCAGAGTCTGCGACTGCAGATCCAGGCCACACCGCTAGGGGCCGGCCCTGAGGAGGGGGGAGGACAGCCCACCACAGCGAGTGCCAGTCTGAGCTGGAGGCCAGGCCCCTCCTGGGGGCTATGGCTGAGGTGCTCTCACCTGCTGGCTTCTGTCCTGGGTGTGGTCAAGCCTTTGGGTGGGGATGGCCAGAAGGAAAACCACCCTATGCCTACGTGCCTGCCAACCAGCACCCCTTCCCACACTGCCTGCCCCTGCATCCTTCCCACACTGCCTACCCCCGCATCCTTCCCACACTGCCTACCAGCACCACTTCCCACACTGACTGCCCCAGCATCCCCTTCCCACACTGCCTACCCCCGCATCCTTCCCACACTGCCTACCAGCACCACTTCCCACACTGCCTGCCCCAGCATCCTTCCCACACTGCCCGCCCCAGCATCCTTCCCACACTGCCCGCCCCAGCATCCTTCCCACACTGCCCGCCCCAGCATCCTTCCCACACTGCCTGCCCCAGCATCCTTCCCACACTGCCTACCAGAACCCCTTCCCACACTGCCTACCCCCGCATCTCCTTCCCACACTACCTGCCCCAGCATCCTTCCCACACTGCCTATACCCGCATCCTTCCCACACTGCCCGCCCCAGCATCCTTCCCACACTGCCTACCCCAGCATCCTTCCCACACTGCCTGCCCCAGCATCCTTCCCACACTGCCTGCCCCAGCATCCTTCCCACACTGCCTGCCCCAGCATCCTTCCCACACTGCCTGCCCCAGCATCCTTCCCACACTGCCTGCCCCAGCATCCTTCCCACACTGCCTGCCCCAGCATCCTTCCCACACTGCCTGCCCCAGCATCCTTCCCACACTGCCTGCCCCAGCATCCTTCCCACACTGCCTGCCCCAGCATCCTTCCCACACTGCCTGCCCCAGCATCCTTCCCACACTGCCTGCCCCAGCATCCTTCCCACACTGCCTGCAGACGGGTTTTTCCTGGGTTCTGGGGCCCTGGTCTTAGACAGAGCCCCAGCGGGTAGTGTGTAGTGACCAGCAAACAAACCGGCCCCAGTCCCCGCTTCTCTGAGGAGGGCAGTGCCGACGCCTTCTAGCTCAGAGTACAAGGGACGGAGGGAGGTGCTGCTTGCCGAGCGTCCCCAATATGCCTTGTGGGCTTTGGGTGCCCCATTTAATTTCCAAAAATTCCCTGTGAGGCAGCCTGCATGAGGTTCATCCTTGGAGGGTGGGGGGCTCTGCACACAGCGTTGGGGCTGGGCCACACTGTGCCCAACCTATGGGCTCTGGCGGGTGTGCCACCCTCGAGTTGCCATGCAGAGGGGCCGGGGCGACCAGCACACCTGATGGAAGTCTCTGTGAGCTCCCAGACTCCTGGCTGGAGACAGAACATGCTCTTCCTGAGGCTGTGGCCTTTCCGCAGAATGCTGGCTCCACCTCGCTGCCCTCCATGCCCTCTCACTAGACGGAGGAAACTGGGGCCAGCACCACTTTATTCTTCTCTAGGTAGTGGTTGAGCAGTTGGCTGCTGCCAACCAGGAGAATGGGAGGACCCCAAAGTGTCCCAGAGTCCCCCGAGCTCTGGGCTCTAACTTGGTTTCAGAGCCGGGGCGTGGGAGGCTCCGCGCTGGCTGCTCTGGACCGTCTGGGCGTCAGGGATCCGCATGGAAGCTGTGCCTGCTGCTGTCATAGTGAGTGGGAACCCGAGGGTGAGAGGGTCAAAGTTTTCCAGCCTGAGGAGCAGAACCACAGACTCTGCAGCTCAAAGCACATCCTGGGTCAAGAGTGAGAGGGTGAGGGTGGGTGGCAGGCAGACCAGGCGCCCTGAGAGAGGCTGCGGGACCGCCAAGGCCCTGGGCACAGGCGCAGAAGCTTCCGAGGGGGGCCCACTTCCTTGCCTGGCCGTGTGACACTCACCTGGGGACATCTGGCTTCCGCTTTGGTAATGGCAATTAATTTTGCCAATAGATGAAGTTATGGAGAAGTTAGAAAGGCAAACACAAAGGGTGGGATATTCTCTTGAAGAGAAAATGACTCTCAAATAGATTTGCTTGAAGCCTCCTAAGAGAAGAGCCGGCCAGGTGAGTGAGGCTCTGAACGCTGGGCTTTCCAGCTTCGTTAGTCAGACAGGTTCCCATGGACTTGGTCACAGAGACCATCTAGTTTCCTGCAGAGAAGCAGGGTAGACTGGGCACCCAGCGTTCTAGTAACAGTGTCTCCAGCTGTTCTTCAGGTTCCCAAGAACCGACATCAGCCAAGCGGAGCGGACTGTGGCCATGAGCTGCACGCGGGAATGTGACATATGGCCACAGGCCGCTCTGTGCACGTCGCCCACAGTGGGCACTTTCGTGCCATGGGATGACGGGTAGCAAGCCAGGACTCCTCCCTGCACAAGCAGATGGGCGCACATCCTGGTGTGACGCCCACTGTTGGTGCTGACACAGGGAGCATGACCACAGAAAACTCAGTGCTGTGGTGTGCGCGAGGAGCACCGTGAGGTTAGAGAAACTCAGGCGGAACTGCCTGCAGGACTCACTCTGTGGGTGAGGAATGTGGGCCCCATTGCCCCAGAGCTCTGTGCTACCTGCACGCCAGTTGTCCCTTCACCGGCTCAAGCACAGCCCTGGCATCTGGGCGGTGGGACAGAGGTTGTGACGAGATGAGCTGCCGGGAGGCTGGGACAGGTGGCCCCAGCACCTCCTGCCTCTGGGGCCGGATTTAAGTGTTGGGTGAAAACGTGTGGCCCAGTGGTCTTTCCCTTCACACCGCGAGAGGTGACAGACACTTTGCTGGGGTGTTAGTCCAGGCCCATCTGCTGCCACACACACTGTGCGTGTTTAGACCTGGGAGTGGTCTCCAGGTCCGCTCAGGGCTGCCCACGCCAGGCCCTCCGCGAGCCCGCATCCCAGCACCTCCCGCGTGGCCCTCGCCAGCGCTGCACACAGGCCAGCTGGAGGCCAGGCCCCTTCTGAATCGGTGGGCGGAGGTGTGTCTCGGGGCAGGTGATGTGTTGGGGCAGCGCCAGTGCCCCGCAGGCCTCCCCGGCAGCTGCCACCTAATTGCCTGATTAACTCAATGATTAATCGACTAATTGGGACCTCAGCTTCCATCCCCGGAACAAGGAGCTTTTGTGGAAAGTCTCAAAGCCGGTTCTGGAGAGCGAGGCCAGGCTGGGCTGCAGCTCTGTGCCTGCAAAGGAGACCCACAGTGACAGTGGCATGTCCCCCCGCCGCCCCTCCCCCCCCTTCCGTCTGCTTTCTAAATCAGTGAAAATCAGCACTGAGAGCGGCCGAGGCCCCACGTGGGCTGCAGGCCGTGCTCCCACCAGCTGCTCCTAGGCTGCCGTGCGGGGGGCTTCGCCTCCACCCTCTGTCCTGCTTCTCCCTGACTGGTCACAGGGGTGGCCCTCTGGCCAGCCAGGCCCCACAGCTGTCTGCACTCAGGCCAGTGACCAATCAGGTTAGAAATCATTGGGGGTGTCTGGACGGAGGTAAAGGGTGGTGCCCCTTTCCTGGTCCCAGGAGACGTCGGGCCCGAATGTTTTTTCCTTCTTGGCTCTGGGGACGTCTGAGCCAAGGTGGAGCTCAGGCCCTGTGGTGTTGCTCCTGTTAAAAATGAGGTCTTCTCCCCTTGGGCAGGGCAACTTGGGGTGACCCCCTTCTAGGGGGAGCTTGGACCCCTCCTTTAGGTGACCTCTCCATCTTGCTGGGTGTCAGTTTGCTGCTCTGTAAAATGGGGTGATCACATTATGTAAAACCCTGATCTGATGTGTCCGACAGCCAGAGGACGCTCACTCCACACCCCACCCAGGCCCCACCCAGGGCCCTGGGGAGCCAGCTCCTGGGAGGTGGGTTGGGTGGCATGGTCCCCGTTCATGACCAGAAGTTTCTGGAGCTTCCCACGGTTTGGTTCTGTGGGGAGACAGATGATGGTGAAGGGTGAGGAACTCCTGGGGTCTCGCCTCCATCCACATTTGTTCACCAGCCCTGAGGGGGGCTGGGAGAGGCCCCCCATCACCCCCTCCAAGGTCTCATGGCAGCTCCTGGGTCACCGGTCCTCCTGGCTTCACCACACCAGGTGTGGCCGCCACACCTTCGTGTTTGCACGGTCCTTCCTGCAGGCACCGGCTCCGCGCCGGGCGAGGCTGCAGGCCGCGGCCTCAGCGCTGCCGGCCCCGCGGTGGCCAGAGAATCCCAGCGTCTGTGTGCTGCCCTGGGCCAGCCTCAGAGCCTGCCCAGCCCGGGGAAGCTTGGCTCATCCGTGGAGAGGGAGCGCCTTTCCGGAGCTGCGCACCGGGAGCCTGGCCTCCACACGGACCCTCCCGACAGTTGCTTACATGGGGGAGTGATTTCACTTGTTTTCTTGCCACTGCAAGCGGCTGTTCTGAGACCAACAGCTTGGAGACAGTCTCTGGCCCCGGTGAGGTCTGGGGGGCCCCTCCCCCAGTGACGCTCTGCTTGCCTCCCCAGCTGCCCCACGCCGGGATGCTCGGGCTCGGGGCACATCCGTGGCAAGTACTCCAGGCACCGGAGGTAAGGAGGCCTGTGGGCCTCACCTCGGTTCCTGGGAAGGAGGGTGGGCGGCTGGGATGCTGTAGCCCACCCACTGCTCTGGGCCTTTTGTGGATCTAGAACCTTCCACGTCTGCCCAAGGCTGCGGAGCCAGTGTCCTCCACGTCACCTCTTACGGAGGGGCTGTCCCAGCTAAGTCAGAGCGCTGGCTCTCCCAGTTGGGCTGTCGGGAGGACGCAGGACTCTGTGTAGGAGAGCTCGGGCAGACCGGGGCACACTGGGGTGACTCAAGTCATCCTGGGGGGTCCACGCAACCCCGCCAACGAGTCTGGGGCTTCTAGCAGAGGGATGGCGATGTGATGCCAAGAGGAACAGGGGGAAGGGCAGGGGAGGCAGGGAGGCAGGGTGGGTGGCCTCAGCCTGGCCCCTTCCTCCAGTTTACAGAGCTGCCCTCTGGCCAAGAAGAGGAAGCTGGAGGGCCCCGAGGCCCAGCACCTGGTGTCCAAGCGGAAGTCACCCCCTCTGAAGCTGGCTCTGGACGAGGGCTACGGCGTGGACAGCGATGGCAGCGAGGACGCTGAGGTGAAGGACGCCTCTGTTTCGGAGTCGGAAGGAGCTCTGGAGGAGGCCAAGGCCGAGATGGCAGGACAGGAGGGGGCTCGGCGCCCCCCGCCCGCTGAAGGTGCCTTGTTCTTTCTGTCCTGAATCAAGGCGCCCAGTGTGTCCCAGAGAGCTGCCACCTGGGCTGGGAGTGCCCTGCCAAAAAAGCCCTTCCTGAGAACAAGGGCGCCCTGTCCGCAGGCGGCGGGCTTCCTGCGAGGCCGCGACTGCGCTGTGTGGACGCTGTGTGACGGGGTGTGTGTCTGTGCACGTGAGAGACTGACACACAGACACAGCTGGGTGGCCCTTGGGAAGTGAAGCCTGGGGCTGCTTGGCACTTGGTGAGATGGAGGAGGATTGAGGGGGACCCTGTTTGCACCAGCTTCCCTGTGGGGCACCCCGCCCTTGGCAAATGCTGGTGTGACGGGCCAAGGTCCACACCCCGTCGCACCCCCGAGCTCCTCGGTCCGAGGCGGGTTTGGGTAACTTGTTGCCAGTCCTGCAGGTCCCCACACCTGCCTCCTTCTGTAGCGCTGGCGGCACCCAAGGGTGTTCCGTCCCTTGGAGCATGAACTGCAGGGCCAGCGCGGGGAGCACCCCACATTTTAGTCATCACCCTGAAAACATTTAAATTTGGGTCCTTTGCAAAGTATAAATTTGTTTACTACTTTTCAATTTTGAAACAATTAAAAAAAATCTGATGTATTCCTTGAGCTCCATTTTGTGAAGTGATGTGAGAAAGCACCACAATGGAGTGACCCCGTCTGCCCCTAAAAAGTCCACTGTGACCTCCAGATCCAGGCAGCGGCCGTGACGCAAATTACCTCACTGATGCCCACTCTGGGCGGGGACAGAGGCCTGGACGCCGCCCTCCTCAGGGCCTCCATGTGGCTTTTCTGATCTTGTGCAGGAAGGAGCCCCATCCAGTCTCCGTTCAATTCCAACCCCGTCGGCACCCCCACAGGCTCCTCCAAAGGCAGCTACAGCAGCTTCCAGGAAGCCATCGCCACTTCCCTCCTAGACCTGGGCCACGTCACTGAGGAGCCCCTGGTCAGGGAGGGCTCCGGCCAGCAGGCCAAGCCGGGCCCCGGTGTCCTGCACCTGGCGCAGGAGGAAGCGGGAGGAGGTGCTGCCAGTGACAGAGGGGAGAAGGCGGTCTTTATCCAGCCAGAGGACATCGAGGAGGTCATCGAGGTCACCAGTGAGTACACTCAGGGGCCCGGCCCTCAGTTCCTGGAGGGCGTGGCCAGTGAGGCGCTCCACCAGCAAACAGTCTCTGGGGACCATGAAGAGAAAGAGGAGGAGGAAGCTGAAGAGGAGGAGGAAGAGGAAGAGGAGGAAGAAGAGGAGGAGGAGGAGGAGGAGGAGGAGACTGAGGACGAGGAAGACGAAGAGGACGAGGAGGAGATTACTCCTGATGTGACCTGCCGAGAGAGCGCCCCTTGTTCCCCCCCAGAACAGGCCCCTGAGCCCCACAGCCGCAAGCCTGAGTACTCTGTCCTGGTGGAGCTGATGACGGCATCTGATGACGGCAGGGATGAGGACTTGCGCTCCCAGAAGTCCGAGGTCACGGATGAGTCCGAGATGCACGACATGATGACACGGGGGAACCTGGGCCTCCTGGAGCAGGCCATCGCCCTGAAAGCTGAGCAGGTGCGGGCTGCGTGCGAGCCCGGGGAGCTGGGCCTGGGCGAGCCGGTGAAGGTGGCCAGGCCCCCGGATGCCACGCGGAAGACCTACTGCAGCAAAGGTAGGGCTGGCGCAGGCCTACATGCCCATCCCTGCCCTTCCCCTGGGACACCAGGCGTGCAGGTGCCACCAGCAGAGACCCCGCCTGATGTAGCGTAGCCGAGGGGCAAAGATCACAGGCCACAGAGCGAGGCATCGAGTCTGAGGACAGGGCTCGCACTGCACACACAGGGCCACCAGAGAGCAGCACTGAGCCGAGGCACCAGCTGAGCAGAGGGGAGGGAGGGACAGTCACCCAACTCAGCGGCTCAGCCACAGCCTGGGGAGCCACCGGGTTGGGAGGGACTTGCGTGAGTTGTAGGTCATGAGGCCGCCTCGCTGGTGGAGACACAGGGCCATGTTTTCTGGGGACACTTGCTCCTGTGGGACCGGTGCAGGGTCAGATATTCAGGGGTACAGCGGAGGGGACACAGGCAGGGACGTTATTTCAACCCGAGGAGAGCTATCAGGGGAGACCCTTTGGGGGTGGCAGACTGAGGGACAGCAGTTTGGGGCTCCAAGTCAGGCCAGCACAGGCTCCTGCACAGGCCTTGAGGGGACATGGACATGAGGATGCCGGAGTGAAGGTGACAGGGACTCGGGGGTGGTGTGGGGTGTCAGTCTGAGGGCGGACTTGAGGCCCACAGTTCAGTGGGACCCTGTTGGAGAGGGGATACAGACAAGTGACAGCCCAGGCCCAGGTGTTCAGGGACTCACACCTGTGGGATGGACATTAGGGGACCCAGATGCAGTGCCCTGCTTTCAGGGCTAAAGTTGAGGGCAGGGACCCAGGGGACAGATGCTGGTGGCTGGGCTGGGAGCACCAGGCTGTGCCAGGCAGGCCCATACGGCTGGTGCCAGGCTTTGTGAGGCCTCCCCATGAGCGAGGCTGTGGTCTCTGGGTTCTCCCAGGGGGGCGGCTCGCCCAGGAGCTTCTCCAGGGCAAAGGCCGGGCTCTGAGATCACCAGTGCCCTGACAGGTGTCCCCTCCGGGTCCCCCCACGCCCCAGCATTCAGTAGGCTGTGATTTGGGTCAGTTTCTTAACTTCTTTGTCCTCCTCATTTTGTCCCAAATGGTCAGTCCTGGCAGGGACCTGCGCCCTGACCATCTCCTCTCTCTGCAGAGGCTGACCCTGAGGGTGGGGCTCCGGCAGGTGTGGCTTCACTCTGAAGCCAGTGGCAGAGGGACCGGGCTTGGCTGCGCAGCTGCTCTCGGGGTGCTCGGTCAGTCTCGGGCGTCTCCGGGCTCCGGGCAGCCCACGTGTGCGGACCGGTCCTCTGGGGTCAGCTCGCTGTGCAGCCCTGGTCCCTCCGGGGCTCTCGGGCAGGCTGGTCACTCTCCCCTCTGGATGCCCAGAGAGAAGGATTAGCTGTCCTCGCCACCCCGCATGCCACTTCCTGGGCACCTTCTGACTGGTGTGTTGTGTGTTTAGATTCCTCAAGAGCAGAGAAACGTGAGATCAAGTGCCCAACCCCGGGCTGTGATGGCACCGGGCACGTGACAGGGCTGTACCCGCACCACCGCAGCCTGTCAGGGTGCCCCCACAAGGACAGGATCCCTCCAGAGAGTGAGTAGCTCCGCAGAGCTCAGGACACAGCTGGTGTTTGGACGGTGTCCAAATGGCCACTTGGGCCCTTTCCCTTGGATTGGCACTGTCCAGATGCCCACACGTGAGCCCCATGAGGCCGGGGACGTGGAGCCTGCTCAGTCATGCACCTTGAGAAGGCTGCTTGGGTCAGGGACCCCTGAAGACGGGCATGGGAGTCACAGCTGAGGGAGATGAGGCCACCCCGGGCAGGGGCTGGGTTTGCGCCCTGAGGGCTCAGGGCAAGCCTGTCTTGGCCCCAGGCTGGAGGCAGTAACTGACCCGGAGGGTCACTGGGGCCAGTCACACTGCACAGCCGGGGTTGTTAAGCCGAGTTCATTTCTGCCCCAGGGAGGCAGGGGGCAGCCGGGGGGTGGGGGACATGCCTTGACTGGGCTGAGGCTTGGGGACTGGAACCTCCCTGGACGCCTGCTCAAGGTGCGATGTGCCGCAGGCTGTGCTCACCCCTTCTCTTGCAGTCTTGGCCATGCACGAGAACGTGCTCAAGTGCCCCACCCCCGGCTGCACAGGCCAGGGCCACGTGAACAGCAACCGCAACACGCACAGGAGGTACTTGCGAAGCTGGGTGTGGTGAGGGCGGTCGTGGGTGCGCAGGGCCTGCCGTGGCCCCTGGGGGAAGACCTTGGTGTCACTGGTTTAGAATGTCCCCAAACCAACCACCTGAACAGTGGGTGCTTTGATGCTCGAGCCCAGAGCAGAAGAAAAAGCCAACTCTGGAGGAGTGACAGCTTCCCAGGCCCCGCAGGAGGCCCAGAGGGGAGGCTCAGCGGTCCCCTTGTCCTCCTCTAGTTTGTCTGGGTGTCCCATTGCTGCTGCAGAAAAGTTAGCCAAATCTCACGAGAAGCAACAGCCGCAGACAGGAGATCCTTCCAAGACTGACTCCAGCTCAGAGCGGATCCTCAGGCGAGTGCAAGCACCACAGCACTGGAGGGGCTGCCTGTGGGCAGCGCGTGCCTGTGGGTGTGGGTGTGGGCCTGTGCTGGTGCCTCAAGTAGCCGCGGGCCTCCCAGCACGAAGCTGGAGGGCAGTTTCAGGGCGCACAGGAGTCTCTGGCCTGCTGCAGGCGGGAGGGGGGTGTCCAGGCTCCTTCGTCCTGAGTGGTTGGCAGTCTCCCCCCACTGGTCTTCCTGCCCGGCTCCTGTATTCTCTGGGCTGGTCTTCAATGCTGCCTCTTGCGTATTTAAACACCCGAACTCTTCCAAGAGCTTCAGTAACAAAGAACGGCACCCTGCAGTGGCTTTCCCACGCCTGTCCCCGTCCCTGCTGCAGCCCTTCAAGGGCCATCTCCACCGTCCCTGCCCGTGAAGAGCTGCGTCGGGCCAGTCTCGAGGGCCCTCCGACACCTGCTGCAGAGCTTCCTCCCTGGGCCCATACCATCCCTGCTGGGGGCTGCTCTGGGGCGGCCCGCGGCCAAGGGCTCCGTGCACTGTTGCTGAGCTGTTTGAAACCTGCTCTCATAAGGTCGCAGGCCCTGCTCCTCTGGCTAATGCTGTCTGTAAGGGGTCAGGCCCCAGGCAACTGTTAGTGGTGGGACGTGGGGGAGGGTCTCCCAGGGGTCTGTCCGCTGGCTCCGAGGGGCCCCTGTGCAGGCTGGGGGATGAGCAGCACTGGGCTCCGGGGTCCTGTCCTCATGGTTCTGCATCTGTCCTGCACCCCAGACCCATGTGCTTCGTGAAGCAGCTCGAGGTCCCTCCGTATGGAAGCTACCGGCCCAGTGTGGCCCCTTCCACGCCCAGGGCCAACCTGGCGAAGGAGCTGGAGAAGTTCTCCAAGGTCACCTTTGACTACGCAAGTTTTGATGCTCAGGTTTTTGGCAAACGCATGCTTGCCCCAAAGATTCAGACCAGCGAAACCTCACCTAAAGCCTTTAAATGTAAGTTGGGGAGCATGGCTCCTGGGAGGTGTAGAGTGAGGAACAGTGGAGGGGCCCTGGCCAGGAGGGCGTCTGCCCGGGGTCTGACGGGATGGACCCAGGTTTTAGCTGTCCCTGGTCCACCCTCCTTGTTCACCATCAGGCTCACTATTCGTGAAACAAAACCAGGCCCTTTGTGGGGTGTGTGTCCAAACGCTTGAGAATGATGTCGCTGCTGTGGTCACCCTGCCAGGTCCCCTGCTCCTGGCCACCTAGTTCCAGCCTGTTTATTCCTAGAGTGAGGCAGGGCGTGTGCGGGTGTGTGCGCATGTGTGGGTGCATTGGTGCGCATGCATGTGTTAGTGTGTGTCTGGGGCGGGTCAGACAGCTGCTGTGTTGAGCCTGGTACCTGACAGGAGCCATTTCCCTTCCTGCTGGGGGCAGCTTGGTGGATGCAAGGTGTTCTTTGTGATAGTAAGCAACGAAGTTTCTGGGTATTTGTACTAATAGACATGACCCTTCGGGCACCCTTCCTGCCCTTTTGTCACTTATCACACTGCCTGTTAGCCCTGGGCCCTGAAAATGTGTGCGGAAGGAAAAGCGCCCCCACTGTCCCGGGTGGAACTGGCATCTGCTGGCGGGGATCGCCTGAGCCAGCAGTGACGGGTTCCTACCCGTTGATCATAAAGACGCCGATCGAGACGACCGTGCTGGAGCATGGCACCTTGCCCACTCACGAGGACAGGGCAGCCGGCCTTCCCGCCGGCACCCTGACCCCAGTGCCCACGCGCCCTGCAAGTCGGAAGTTGTGATCACTCAGAAATCTCAGACCTGAGAGCACAATGACTAGGAAAGATACCATTTTATGCCTTATGTCTGTTTGAACATCAATGTGACTTTATTAAAGCAGCGGCTGTTATGGGGACACCAAGATCAGCCTTTTGAGATGATTGACACAATTGTCCTACTTGGGTGGTATTCCAACAGTCATCCTGTTTGCAGAATTCTTTAGTCTTTTGATAACCATTCACCAATGGGCAACTTGTTTTTGTTTAAAATATCAGGGATGCTAGAATGTCTTTGGAGGGCTTTACTCTTTCTGCACACATTTTGGTCAGGCCAGACATAGCCTCCTCAGTCCCAAATAGGAGGACGAGTGGGAGCTGGGTGTGGGCACATGTGAGCAGCCTGAACGGCCCTGCCCCCGACCCCTTCCCTGCAGCTCTGCCCTGTGCACCCCACCCTACCGTCCCGTGTGCCTTTGCGTGCCACCTGCTGTTCAAGCTGCACATCAGCGTGGTGTTGTTCGCTCTTTGCAGCCAAACCTTTCCCAAAGGCCTCCTCCCCAGCGCAGCTCCTGCTCTCCCTCCTCTCCTATAGGCTTCGACTACGCCCACGACGCCGAGGCCGCGCACATGGCCGCCACTGCCATCCTGAACCTTTCCACACGCTGCTGGGAGAGGCCCGAGAACCTCAGCACGAAGCCACAGGAAGCGCCCAGCAAGGTCGGTGTATCCCTTGCAGGGCCCCTTTGGAGGCAGACATCGTTGGGAGGAGTTTGCAGTCAGGGCCACAGGCCTGAGGGAGGCGTTCTCAGGACCACCCGTTCATCTGGGGAGGGTACTGTTTTCTCCCTCTCCCTCCGCTGTGGCTCCTGATGAGCAGAGAGCTTGTATGGGTGCCTTCTGAGAGCTCTGTGTGCCGAGCCTAAAGAGGGACTACGTGGCTGTGCACATGTGTGTTCCAACGTGTCTCCTTGAGTCTGATGGTCATGCACACACATGTTCCCTGTGTCTCCTGAGACTGAGGGTCACACACACACACACACACACACACACACACACACACCAGTGCATGAATTTCATGCACTGGGCCTCTAGTATGGAATAAAAGTTAAATTTAAAAAAATAATAATAAAGCAGCAAAGGAGCATAAAATACTAACTAAAGCATACAGGAACTGTTGGCGTGGCGACACTATTACGGAAAAACACACACCCCTTCCCTCGTGTCTCCCTGAGAAGTCACATACACATGTGTTCCCGCATATCTCCCTGAGACTATCATGCACACACATGTTCCCTTGTGTCTCCCTGAGACTGAGGGTCCTGCACATGTTCTCGTCTGACCATGCTCATGCCCTCAGGGCCTGGTTTGTGGTCCATGGAGACCGAAGGAGGGAGGTCGCAAGTCCTCCATCTGGGCCTCAGAGGCGCTTCTTCCTGTCTGGCTATTTCCTTCAGAGGGAAGCGGGTCTGGTGCTCTGCAGCGCCGCATTCGGGACCTCGAGGCCCACGTGGAGGGCGTGGGGCCAGGACGCAGATGCCCCTTTACGTTGTAGGCAGTGGCCATCGAGGTGGATGAGCATGGGACCCTGGACCTGAGTATGCGCAGGCACCGCAGGCGGGAGGGCATGTTCCCCGGCAGTGGCGGCCCCGAGCCCGGGGTGAAGGCTCCCGAGGCCTCCCAGCGCCAAAGCAGCACCAGTGCCCCTGGAAGCTCCATGACGCCCCAGTCCAGCCAGGCCTCCCACCAGGATGAATGGGACCGGCCTCTGGACTACACCAAGCCCAGCCGCCAGCGAGAGGAGGAGCCCGAGGAGGTGGGTGCGTGGCCTGAGGGGTCCTGTCCCTTTGCACTCGGGTCTGCACCCTCGGGCGGGAGGACTCCGCCGCTGCTGGGGGCGTTTCTGCCAGTGGTTGCGGTGTCTGCGTCCCTCTGAGAGCGCAGTCTCCTTGCCTCTAAGACATGGTGGGGCCTCGGAGAGTCCGGGGAAGAGGGGCTTCTTTCAGTCCCCACAAGGGATGACTTGGGAATGGCTCTGAGCTCCTTAGTTTTGGGGGCTTCCCGCCAACCTGCTTCCCAAATAGGCACACCTGAACCCCAGCAGCAGCCCTGGGCCCTCCAGGCCACCTGGCTCCGTGGACAGAGGCAGGAGAGAACTCCTGGCCTCAGAGCCTCCGTGCTGGGCAGTGGCCTGGTCCCAAGACAGGCACCGCCTGGTGAAGAGCAAAAAGCTGGGCGCCTGTGCTGGGCTGTGGTCTGGGCGCCGCAGGCAGTCCCTCCTGCCCAGCCGCTCCACCCAGCTGAGATGCTGGCTGATTGAGGGCTTTTCCCGAAGAGCTGTGCATCTTGAACAGCAAAGCCCAGCTCTGCGGGCGGCACCGCCCTGGCAGCTCTGCAGTGTGGGCAGGTTCCCTCACCCGCTTCTCCCCGCTAGCCCCCCTCCTCCCTGGAGGGCAGGGCAGGTCCCTGTGGAGGAGGATGTGGCAGGGAGACCTCCCATCTGAGCACCTGTCACCTCCGTGATTCTGTCTTGCTGGTGAGCCAGGCTCCCTCTACATGTGTCATATGAGGCCCCAGACTGAGGTCACATGGCTGTAACTTGGTGTTTGGCGCCAAGTCTCAGAGGAGGGGTGCCTCTGAGACTGAGCCCCAATGAGGGAGGCTGGCCAAGACCCGCCCACCGAGAGCTGTGCTCCCGCTTTCTCCCTGTTTGGCAGAGTCCCGTCTGTAGTCAGGACTCTCCTGTGTGGGGGCTGCAGTGCAGGTGGGGGCCTCTGCATCTGTGTTGTCCTTGTTCCTGTCTTGCCCCCAGGATTTATCTGCACCCCCTCCTGCAGCGACTTGTCTCCAGTGGCCTCCTTTGTCTCCTTCACTGGCCCCTTCCTCAACCCTCCTCAGGCTGATCCCCGTCTCTGAGTGGCCTCCTTCTCTCCAAGCATCCTTGTCCCCTCCCAGGACTGACCATCATCTAGGGCAGCGGTTCTCAATTTGTGGGTCGCGGCCCCTTTGGGGGTCGAACGACCCTTTCACAGGGGTCGCCTAAAACCATCAGAAAACACATATTTCCGATGGTCTTAGGAACCGAGGCACCGCTCCTCTATCCGTCTCCAGGCGGGTCCGCCCACATGCAGATACGCCCACATATGAGTATCCGGCATATTAGAGTCGCGGCATTAGGGAGGCTGAGAACCACTGATCTATGGGGTGGCCCAGAGGCCCCGCCTCGAGGTTCCCACCACTGAAGCCTGTTCCCATGCTCTGCCTTGCAGCCGGCAGCCCCTCCAGGCAGAAGCCTCAGCTCAGCCCTGCCCCTTCCTCTCCCCAGCTGTCTCTCCCGGTCATGGGAGCCCTGTCCATGGGGCCACCCCTGGCAACACCTCCTGAGCCAGGCTTCCTCCGTCCCTGCACCGCGATCCTGGCTCCCAGCTCAGACACTCCTTCCAGCGCGGCCACACTGTCCCGCACCCATGGCCTCCGCATGCTTCCTGCTCGGTGCTTCTGGGAACTCTGTCCATGCTGAAGAGATTTTTTAAAAATTAAATTTATTGGGGTGACATTGGCCAATAGCTTGCAACTCAATCAAGCGAATGAGTCAATGACGGTGACAAGACCTCGAGCAGTCCTTCTCGGGGCTGGTGCTCTAGGGCGTGTTCTCCTTTGACCCCAGAAGGCCTGTGAGGGGCTCCCCTGAGCTCCATTTCCAAAGGGGCACCTCAGCCTCAAGAGGCTGAACACTTGCAGGGACACAGAGCGAGGGCCAGTGCTGGGGGTGTGCCATGAGGCTCTGTGACGCCCGCGTGGGCCGGCCCTTGGAAGTGCCAACTGTGGGGCAATGTCGTGGGGGGTAGGAGTGGGGGGGCAGGAGACGGGGGGCTGAGGGCCAACTGGCCGTGGGGCACGGTGATCATTCTGTTATGCTCTGCGTGTGGTTACTCCTGTGCCACCTCATCGTCACAGCCTTTCCACCAAGGCGATTTGGCGCCCAATGTGCCAGGCGCACCCTCCGAAGGGCTACTCTCAGTGGCGAGGACCGTGTTCAGGAGGCGGCTCAGCAGCCGCTGGACAAGGCCACCCCATGCAGGGACGCGGAGGGTGCCAGGGTCTCCTGTTCCCGGGCAGCTCTGGCTGAGGTCGAGGGACGCCAGCCCCGTGGGGTGCTGTCTTCTGTGTGTGTTGGGGGTACTCTTCTCCCTTATCTAGAGGACGGGAGACTCCAGGACACGCCTCTGTGGCCGCTGCTCTGAAGGGTCCTCTCCCCCAGCCCTGGGCGGGCGCCCGGCCCGCCAGCGGTTAAAACCTCTCCCTGCTGGTTTTTTGCAGTCAGAGCCAGCAGCCCATTCTTTTGCTTCTTCTGAAGCAGATGACCAGGAAGTGTCCGAAGAGAATCTTGAGGAGCGGAAGTACCCCGGGGATGTCACCCTGACCAACTTTAAGCTGAAGTTTCTCTCCAAGGACATCAAGAAGGAGCTGCTCACGTAAGTCTCACCAGTCTGGACAGGAGCACCGCTGGGCCGGGCCGGGCTGGGCTGGGGGGTTGGGCGGCTCTGTCCATGGCCTTCCGCTGCCCTCTGTCTGGGGGGGCTCGACCAGGCACCGGGGACAGTGTCCGTCATCGCCGCACTGCGCTGGGCTCTCACGTGGTCCTAGGACACAATTGAGAATGAGAAAGAGCCCCTGTTCTACCCACGCAGCAGGCCGAGAGCTGAGGGAAGCGGCCTCCTGAGCACAGCCATCTGCCCGGCCATGGCCAGGCCTGACCGCTGCCCTCAGCTCCGGAAGCCGACGGGCCTTTGAGCTGGTCCTCAGGGAACCGGGTGTCACCGGAGAGCAGGGAAGCTGCTGGGAGCTATTCGTAGACAAACGCAACCCACACCTTCCGGTCGGCCCTAGAGAGCCAACTCTCTCAGAGGAGGGGCGAGGCCCTGCCCCTGCACCAGGCGTCCAGCCCGCGCCAGTGCTGCTTGTGCCCGGGGCTCCTCTTCTTGTCCTGAGCCTTCTGCTCCGTCGCTGCTCCCCAGGACGGCCGGCTCTGGGCTCGGGCTGGGGCCTTGTCCTCAGAGAGGGCCCTGCTCTTCGGAAAGGATCTCCCTGAGTGTTCATGGGCACCCACACGTGTGCTTGAAATACCCTAACTTCGAGCGGAGCTTTGATTCGGTTCCCTTTTCCCTTCCGAGTTAAGTTCCGTGGGAGCTGCCGTCCAAGGCTGAGGTTGTGCTCTGAAGGCTGAGGAGGAGACGTTGCCCCCGGGGTGATTAGGAGGAGGTGCCACCACCGTCCCTGCGCAGGCCTCGCAGGCGGCCCCACTCTCCTGACGCTCTTTTCCTTTGTCCAGCTGTCCCACCCCGGGCTGTGACGGCAGTGGCCACATCACCGGGAACTATGCCTCCCACCGCAGGTTCGTCCCCCGCTCGGGCCTGCCTGGCCGGGTGCTGCGTGGCGGGTCTTCCTCCTCTCCTGCTCTGCTCCCCTCTTTGGCTTACCCCCCTCTCTTCTCTTTCAGCCTCTCTGGTTGCCCTCTTGCTGACAAGAGCCTCAGAAACCTCATGGCTGCCCATTCTGCTGACCTCAAGTATGTCTGCCCTCCTGGCCGCCCGTCTCTCGGGTGGCTCCCTCGCTTTGCTGTCTCCTTCCGTGAGGCTCCAGCCCAAATCGCAGGCTGCAGTCCCGGGCTGGCCGCCTGCAGGAAGGGGCGGGGCGGCAAGGCTGTGGAGGAGCCGCTTCCCGTGGCTGGGGCCCCTGTGCTTGTGTCCCTCTCTGAGGCTGCTGTCTGTCTGTCCGCACCAGCTGGGCTGCTGTCGGCTCCTGTGCTGCCCTTGGCCCTGCCGGCCTCTCTGAGGGCCCCCGGTGGCCTGGCCCCTTCTCTCCCTGTGCTCAGGGTCCTGATGAGGGCCTGCCCCCCCCACTCGGGCTGGACCAGCCCAGACCTGGCCTCGCTGCCGCCAGTCCGGCCATGACTCCACGCTGCAGGCTGTGCTGCTCGTGCTTAAGGAAGCGCTGCTGCTGGTGAAGGAGAAAGCTCCTTGCCCCCCTTCTCTGCAGCCCTCCAGCTGCTGGCCTTGACCCTGGTGCCCCAGAGGTGCCTCTCCTCCTCGCTCCTCCCTCTTTCTGCTTCTGCTCCTCCCTGCCCCTAGTGCACTGCCTGACGGCCTGCTCGATGCTCCCAGAGGTTCCCGGTCTCAGTGTCCTCTGGGGTGTGGCGGGACGGTCCTTGCCTTTGTGTTCATGCCATCTGTTGAGCTGTGACAGGCTGGTCCTGGCTGAGCCAAGACGGGGAATGAGGTCATCCTCTGCGGCTGCTCCTCCCTCCAGGCCTCTGTGTTGGGAGGCCCTGGTCCAGACAAGTTTCCCTGGCCACTCCGCTCGGGGCCGGACGGAGCAGAGCCTGGCCAAGGCTTCCAGGCCCTGAGCTAGTTTAGAAACGGGCAGAAAGCCCCCGGTCCCTGAGGGCGCTGCCCTCGCAAGGGAGAGCGCCTCCTTGTGCCTTGTTGCAAGGGGCTCTGTCCCCAGATGGCGCTGGGCCGGTTTGCCGCCAGGGTCTTCCTGGGGGTGACAGCTGGGACACAGTGTTTCCTAAGGCTGAGCTCATCCCGACTCATGCCTGGGTCCAGTCCTGGAAACCCAGCGGAACCACTCAGCCTCTCTTCTCTCCGCTGCTCCCATGCTCCTTTCTCCTGTTTCCTTTTCCAATTCGACGGCCTTTCTTACCTGTGATTGGTTTTCATGGATTTCCAGTCTGAGGGCCTGAGTGATTGAGCCATGGCCATGTGTGCTCAGGGCTGCGGGAGGGAAAACACCAGAAATGTGGCTCTGAGAGTGCTGTTCCTTCTCAGACTAACAGCCTGTGAAGAGCTTTAACCCGGCCCTGGCTGGTTGCTCAGTGGTTAGAGCATAGGCCTGCAGAATGAAGGGTCCCAGGTTCTATTCCCGGTCAAGGGCAAGTATCTCAGTTGCAAGTTCCCCAGCCTGGTAGGGGCGGGAGGCAACCAATTGATGTGTCTCTGTCTCCCTCTCTCCATCTTCCCTCCCTTCCATTCTCTAGAAATCAATGGAAAAAATACCCTCCAGTGAGGATTGAAAAGATAACTTTAACCCAGAACATACTTAGAAGTAGCACCAGAAAGTCTTCCTTGTGTGAAACAAGCTCCCCCTCAGCCTCCGGAGGTCTGGGAGGCGGCAGTCCTGCTGTTCCGAAGCCTCTCCCCAGGGCCTCCCAGGGAGCCCTGATAGTCTGGCTGAGGGGTGGGCCAGGTCCCAGCACTTTCCCAGTGCCGGAGGCTCCCTGTCTCCTTCTCCCTCCCCTGGTCAGTGGGTGGCCGGCGTGGCTGCTCCCAACCAGCCCTGTGGCAGGGATGGGGACAGACGCCTATGCCAACCCCTTGCAGAGGAGACCTTTCGGTGGCCTCCCTAGCGACACCTGGGTGCAGTGAGTCTCGTACGATGTTTTCTGTATTTTAATTAAATCCATTTGCTCTTCCCGTTCACGTGCCCTCGTGTGGTCAGGGGTGGGACTTGGCTGCTCAGCACCCTCTGTGTGGGGAGTTGGGGTACAAAGGTGTGATGGGGACTCTGCACAGGGTAGGGACAGGGATGGGACTCCGAGGGGAGACCCTGTGCACTGCCACACCCCTCAGACACAGGCACTTCCTCCTGCTCAGACAGCCCACTCACAAGCCAGTGGTGGATGGTCCCTGCAGCTGGCCCTGTGGGTCCTCAGGGCCCCGAGAGGGGCTGGTGCTGCGGCTGCTTCAGCCACATGGACAGCACCCTCTCTTGGACTCGACTCTGGGAAAAGCTATTGAATTGGGTCTCAGCAAGGAGCGTAGGACAGTCTCACCTGCCTGGGGCAGGTGTGCCTCAGTGGGACCCCTGGGGTTGCTGGTCCCACCTCTACTGGGCCTGGCAGGCACCACCCCGTGTGTGTGTTCCCGCCCTAGACTCAGGCCCCACTGGGGCTGTACCTCGCAGGGCCCTTCCCCACCACCCAGAGCTCATCCAGGCCTAGGACACCATCCACCCCGAGCCTGTGAGTCTCACCTGGGTGTGAGGCTGACGAGAGCAGAGGCCTGAGCAGCGCCTCCTCCCTCCCCTCTGCACTGGCCTCTGGGGAGCACTGCAGGCCCCTCATGTGAGGAGGAGGCAGCAGGATGTCACAGGCTGTGGCCTCAGCACTGAGTCACGTGAGGGGCTCCCCCATGGGCCCGAGACCGGAGCGGCTGGCGCCTGGGCCTCAGGCAGTGCAGGGACAGGGGCCAGCGAGGGTGCTGCGCTGCGGGCAGGGAGGGTGACGGCTGCCTGGATGGTGGAGGGTGGCTCCTGTTAAGATGCAAAAGCCTCCTTGTCCCAGACATGGTGGGTTGAAATGTGACCACATATGATTGGAACGGAGACCATCATAACCTCAATGGAGTGTGAGTTACCCCACAGCCTGGTCAGGGGGTGATTTGACTGGTTGGTCAACTGCCACGCCAGGGAGGCATTTGATGTGTGGCCTGATGTGGCAGCGATGAGGAGGGGCCCCAGAAAGTCCCGAGAGCAGGAGAGGCCAGAGGAGGCTGGGCATTGAGCCCCATGCCGTGCGCCCACCTCAAGGATTCCTATGGGGACAGGCAGTGCTGCCTGCTGGGTTCTGGGAGGTGCTCCTGTAGCTGTGGGGCATCTGCTGGCTGCACCAGCTTCCTGTCCTGCCCCCAGTGCCAGACACTGTGTGTGCCGGTGGGGGACACTGAGGAAGGGGTCAGGCAGGCAAAGACCCGTGTCCTGCTCCAGCGTGCTAGTCCCCAGGCCCCTCGGGCCACGTGGGCACCATGGCTCTGTGTGGGAGGGGGAAGGTGTGAGTAACAGCTCCCTCATGCCACACCACAGGCCTGCTGGCCAGGGTGCACCCTCACGGGGACACCTGCGGAGTCAGGCCAGCAGCCGTGGCAGCGA